GATTCATTAATATATTTTAGGATTAAAAACTTGGTATTCAACACAGAAAGGTTTAATTACAAGCATTTTTCAATTAGAAGCTTGTATGACTGCCTGCCAGTGACTCACGAAAATATTTTGCTAATGTGGTGTAACATGTAACTGGCAAATAAATGACACGTACAAATACATTATAACGCGTAATTTAAAGATATTCCATACTATAACCTATTTTTATTAATTTGCGAGACCTAGAACCTAGATTCCTTGTAAATTGTATTAGTGAGTTTTGGGACTGTATTGGCAATATTTTAATTTTATAGTAAGTGTTCTACTTTGAAAGTGTATCGAAATGGAGTTATGGACTCAATCCTGTATTTATCTGCCTGATCTAAAGATATTATGTTAAATTTATGTATCACTAAATGTTTATACTAATGTGAAATAAAATCAATTTCATGTGGCGACTCAGCAATATTGATAGCAATGTTCTTGAAAAATTTTATATTTTATTTATAACTATTAGTTAGCTTTAAAGTTATTTAAAATAATACCAGTGTAGCAACAACTGACCATTATGATGTGCGATTATGGATAAAATATCTACCATTTTCCGATATAAGACCTATCATATTTTTAATTTGCCGAATTAACAAATTAACAATTTTCTATTCTTAATAATTTTAAGGAATGTTATTTACTCTTTAGAATTATATTATTATTTATAAATATTTTTTTATCTAGCGCATAATCATTTTTGTCAGTGCCTTAGGGTAAGATTTGAATTTAAAATGCTGACTGTTTTATTTCTAGTAATAAATAAATCAAATGCTTGTTAACGATAAGATCTAGTTTGAAGTTATTTTTATGTTATTTTTTATCCTTTTCAGTAGTGTACGACGGGTGTAGTGAATCACTGTGTCAAATGTTCTGAATAAACAGTAGAACGCCCGTATCCGTGCGTTGGTTGGGTTCTGCGGTCCTGAATTGTTTCTCGTAATATTTGTTGTGATGTTGGTATGTGATCTATAAATTATTTGACAAAATAATTACCGTTGTTATGACGGTTATGTAATTTTATTAAAGAATGTTGTGATGTGTGATGGGATATTCAAAACGGTATTTATTTGAAGAAATCGCGGTAACCTAATCCATGGATACGGAGGGCCACTTATATTATAAACGTAGTAATAATATTATGAAATCTAATTGTATAATACGTAAGCCACTTTGTATGATAATAGAAAGACATCAAATAAACTATTTCCTAATTTATATTGTTTTTTATTTTATTACTTTAAACAATTTATAAATTCGTTCATTCGTGACCAATAGTGCAACTGCCAGCATGAGGTCTTTAGGATTCTATTATCCGGTTCGGGTATAATACTTTTGGTTTTATCAGGTTTTCGGAGATTCTCGCAGTAATACGGAGGACCAGTATATGGCAATAGTCTGCAATAGTCTCACTCTCACCCTCTTACATACGAGTCTGAACATAGGTCCTCTTCCTCTCCCTAAACCAAAAAAATGATGGAACAAAAAGTGATGTTAGAAATTATTGTCCATAGACTATACAATAATACTGAGATTATTGTCCTTTAAAATTGCATGCGTTGCTTATCTTGTAGCTTGTCGCAGCCACCTTGTCCAATCTTTGGGATGGGAATCGAAGGCCTGCAGGCCGCATGCGGCCCGTGGCTTGTTGTCATGTGGCCCGCGACACACATTGTCGAGTACCGGTTTTGTAGACACAATTATAGAACAATTTTTTTTTTTTTTTTTTTTAAGGGGGGAAAATCATCGAATGACTGCCCCCGCCTGGGTGAGGCGGGAGGGAGTGTCAGACTCTTACTGACTAAAAACCACCCCGTTCCTTCTCCTGCACGTCGAGCCGGAGCCCCGGTTACCCGTTAGGTTCTCCGCGACTCCGAATCGGCATCGGCCCTATTGGGCCCCATCTGTGGTGGTCTGATGGCTCTTTGAGGCGCGCGCGGAACGCGACGCGCCGTACGCTCGGGTCTGTTTCTGGTCGGACGGGGAGCCACCCATGCTCGCCGTCCGCAGGCCCGCGCTTACGGTGGCCGGAGATCGTCCCGCGATCCCCGACGCCCGGTGTGTCCTTCGCGATGGCTGGGTTGCGAGGAGGCAGCGCTTCGCTGCCTCACGCGTCCCGCCTCCTCCTTAGCTAGCATGACTGCTTCGCAAAAGGAGGAGACGGCATCCCAATCCCCCTCGCTCCGCATCATGGCCTGCACTAGGCCCGGACGCGAGAGGTCGCCATCGCCGATCACCTCCCTGAGGACACGGCGGTGCTCAGCCCACGAAGGGCATTCTCCCACCGTGTGTTCCACCGTGTCCTCAGGGCGGTCCTCGCAGTGATGACACCCGGGCGTTTCCTCCCGCCCCATCAGACACAGGTACCTCCCGAAACTGCCATGTCCGGTGAGGACCTGCGTCAGGCGGTAGGTGAGGAAATTATAGAACAATAGGTTGCGGTCACCGGTGACCGCTTGGTGTTTGACAGTTTAATCTCAACATCTTCATCCTAAGTGCAACAACAATAATAAAATTCAGTGTATGATTTGTCTACAAGTTTTGTCTGTGAGTAAAGAATACAATGATAAATGGCATTATACAACTGATTTTTTTTTCTGGCCTTTCAGCTTTTGTAAGAATTTTAATTAGCCCTCGACGGTATATAGTTTGGACAGCCCTGGACTAACGTACGACCACATGTATGGTAACTTCTCCCACCTTTTTGTCTATTTTCGTTATTGGACGTTTGGTGGTAATTATGAGCATGGTAACTTTACATAATCTGGGAATCGAACTTCGATATTTCTTACTAACGAGTAATTATGTATTATGTCGCAAATACGACCGACCAACGGGTCGGTCGTATTTGCGATCAACGAAGTTGCCTTGTTACCATAATATGTATTGACGTACATGTTGCGATTCATTAATGTATATTTTAAAAGCAGATAACTATGTTCTAATAAATGAATATTCATTTATATACACATCAGATATCAGATATATATCTGAAGAATAATAAATAAAAAAAGATGGCATGATTGTGACTTATTTTCGACGTACGTTTTTGAGTGTGAAAAGATTATATCAAAATGAATAATTACTATTACTAAAAGAAAATATATACAACTTAAAATATAAATAACTATGAACTAAAATAATTATACCTTAAAAAATAGTAATAATAAAAATGCTATCTTAGGGCATCAAAAAAAGATTTGGTATTTGTAGTCTGTGACATGTTAAATCAGTGACAGTGACATGACAATATGACATTACATGACATGACATTCACTCACATGACAGTCATGACACTACACTGACGACCGGACCGGCCCACCACATTGTTTTCTTGTAAGTCGTTTTTTTAGTAGTGTGTGTGAGTTGTTGGTTGTTGAATCAAGAAATATAGCGATTATAAACTGCATTGAGAAACTGACTGTGACTTACTTGTGTTATCAACTGTAGCCACACTGTAGCACGTACAATTCAATTGCAACCATGACAGAAGCTATCGTCAAAAACATTGACAATGCGTGTGAAACTGCTGAAGAATTTACAAAAGTATTCTATAAACAAGTGGATAATAACCGACATTTAACTTCCAAACTATATCTGGACACCGGCCTGCTAGTTTGGAATGGAAATGGAATAACTGGTAACGACAAGATACAAAAGTTCTTGATGGATTTACCTGCCAGTAATCATGTGCTGAAGACATTAGATGCACAACCAATTTCAGAGAATTTGGTTTCAAATAAGCTCACGTACCTCATTCAAGCTTGTGGAGATGTAACCTATCAAAATGACGACAGCAAGAAACCATTTCAACAAACATTTGTGATTGTAGCTGTTGATGGAAAGTGGAAAATTGCATCGGATTGTTTCAGATTACAAGTGCCGTATAATATTTAATAAGTAGAATGTACTTTAAGGTATGTCTATGTCTTTAATGCATGTATTTGCTGTGCAATACTCTGAATATTATTTGGTAGAGGTTCTGATGTGAAATTGATACAACTATGACTCATCATACCTACTGATTGCTGTATGTATTTATCTGGTATTATGTTGTTGTTTTCTGCAGTAATTTGCCATAAAAATTTAAAACAAGATTAGCCTAATAATATATACAAACTGATAATTTACTTAAACTTTAAAATGTTAATGTTGTTACTGTTTATAACAACAATACTGAATATTGTATTATGTTGTGCAACACACATTTGAGCATAAGATCATGTTTATGCCTGTCTATACTTGACATCATTATACACTCCATAAATTAATATTCTAATGAAGTTGTTAAAAAAACCTTACTTCGAAAGGCATTCTTAATTTGTAAATAAATTAGTAGGTATTAATCAACTACTCGATAAATATGTATGAGTAATACATTGTTGTTCTCTTATTCATATTTAAAGCTAAGGAAATGTGACATTATTATTTTCAAATTTTACATAACAATATTTTCATTAATTTTGGATTGTGACTATGTATGTGTCAACTTATTTTGAATGAAAACTGATTTGACAGTTGTTCCTTTGATAATTGATAGAACATGTAAATAAGAATTCTAGTATGTATCTAAAATTAATGGAAAATGTAGCCATTTTTAAAATTATTGAAACAAAAATCATTTAAAAATATAATTTAATATACAGTTACTATATTAATGATATAAACAATACATGAATATTTAAGAAATAAAAAAAATATTTCCACTCAAAATAGGTTGTATCGAACCCATATTTTTGTGACTAGGGCTCCAGTCCATGTAGCCCTTTATGTGTTGTGTTTTATTTTATAATGAGTATATTTATTTTTTCAGATTTTTGTATTGGGGAACCTAACCATCATCATCACCAAATATACAAAAATATATTTTAGCACTGATCTTGGAGATGAACTGAGTTTAACTTACTCAAGACTCAAGAAGCAAGATAAATGAGAGAGTTTGATAAGATTTTATCTTTAAAGCAAGATGTTATCACTGGCTGGAAGAGAACAAATATCTTCTACTACAAGGCAAAAGAAGACACATTTATTTATTCTCATAAATATTGTACAAAACAGCTAAGAATAAATGTCATGATTAAAACAAATTATCTGGTATTATATTTTACAAATTGTTAGAATTTATTAGAACTTGTAAGTAGGTAACGGAAACTAGATCAGGTAATTATAGTTTAGAATAGGAACCTAAAAATGATTTGCAGTTGGGACAATGGTGCTGTGTTTCCTTAAATACTTTTGTTAGGTAGGGGACTGCAGCAACACAACAAAGGCAACACCAACTGAAAAGAATAAGAGATAAAGGGTTGATAATTAATTATACCTTGTTTATCAGCATGTATAAAGCACAAAATAAATTATATTCCACATACCAAAAGACTCCACAAAGAAAACCAGCAAGCATATGAGTTCTCTGTGTGTTTATATGTGTTACAGCAGTGACAATCCTTTCATCACATTTGGGGCAATTATAGACCATCGGCGAATCCTTTAGTGGCGCGTGTATGATTACAGTCCGAGACGTTGGCTGATTGGTCACTGGTTCAGGCACAGTGTTGGCGGAGTTGAATGTCGCATCATATGATGGCGGTGGCTCTCTGTGATACACAGCTTTCTCCTCTTCACTATTTAAATACAACTGCTCTCTCACAGTGTCACTTTGAGCCGGATTTACACCACTATTCATATCCATGTTAGTAAAATGTATTTACTAAAACATTTTCCATCTATGAACACAGTATTGATTATGATTATACACAAAAATTTACCTCCTTATCATTACTGATTGCTACTATCTTATCTACACGTCAGATACTTAGTGTTGGGTACCTACAAGAAATGGCTCATATAATATTCTTTTATGTCTTATTGTCGGTACATATTATTCATTTCTATATGTAGATAACTTAGATTGTGCGAAGATTAGGTGTTGCAAGTACATAAGTCCTGCGCGTGTTCAGGATATTGGTTTTATACGTACAAGTACTATCAAAAAGATAGGAAGCGAGGTTCAAGGACAAGTAGGTATATTGTAGAAGGAAGGCAATTAATGATTTTCCTCTATTAACTTATGTACCTGTTATTAGGAGAAACTCGCAATATTCTTAATCCGTACAACGCACAACGATACGTAGGTATATTACGTATCTCCACTGTAGAAGCAGAACGCAACCTACTATGATCTTTATCTTCCACCAGATTCATGCATCTAATATCATATTCTAGGGTAGTTACTAGTTTTATCTATTGTACACTGCAATCCGAAGGCCAAAGTACATACCTGTATAATAATTTGCTAATTAATTGATGTGTATGATCGTAATATTGTCGTCGCCTGCGACGCTTCTGTAACGGCGATTCGTAAGCATGTAACTTGTCTTCTATTGCTATTAAAAGTCTTAAGGCGTGGTAGAGTGTAATAATTTTATGTATGTAAGTACAATGCACCGAAAAATACTAGCTGTGTAACGGTGTAACAGCGCGAAAATTGTAACGGAGCAAATAATTTTTAACTGCACGATTGGTGCAGTGGTAGGCGGACCGGTTGCTGCACACCGTATCGCAGGTTCGATTCCTGCACAGAACAATTCTTTGAATTCCTTCGTGTTCTGTCTAAACATGAACTTGAAAATAAGGTTACTTATAATATTTTTTTTGATATTCTAGTCACTTACGTACTTAGTTCAACTAGTTATTTGTTGCGATATTTATAATACTAGTGAGTAGCTTAATCCAAAAAAATCGACCCTTTACGTGAGTCATACACATACTCTTCTATTTTTAAAGTTGGTATGAATTTTTATCATTGAATTCAAATATTAATATGTAGGAGAATTAGTGCAAGGAAAAAAGTATAGTATATAAATACCTTATAATATATTATATTTTGTTAACAGTGAATGAAGAACATTTACAATAGGTATTACATTACCTCTTAAAATTGATAATTTATATTCTAAAATTATTTCGCTTTTTATAACTAACTGGTGATAACATACGGCCAATAAAAAAGTACGAAATTATTACGTGTTGCCACTGTAATTACTAGTTACATACATTATATTATTAATTAAAATTTTCGTGGTTTTACATTCAGTCTAATTTCAGTCATATTGTCCACTGTTCATGGCAGAATTTTTAATCCCATTATTTTAAATAAATAAACTTTATTCAGAAAACTAATTGTTTGATAAAGCCTAAAACTGTTGGAATGCCTCAATAGCTTTTTATATCTAAAAATAATTTTCTAATTCCATTGGTTGTCATAGGAAAATACTATCAAAATTAAAAAGATAAAAATAAACAATTAACTACAATGATACAATTTTTGCAATAGGTATAAGTTTGACTTATTCATGGTGTACAGTGGGCTAAACTTGGACGCAAATGTTAGGCACACCTAAATTGGAGATTTCAAATGTAAGTAGCGTGAGAATATAAATAGAGCTACTTAAATAACAAATATGGAAGTAATTGGGTAGGAACAGACACAAATATTTACGTTTCAATTGGCATTTTACATATTTTTATAACAATCGTGAGACATACTGGAAAACTAAAAAATAACGGTTTATTCACGTAAATATACTGAGAAATGCTCTGCTAGTTTCGAGTCACAGAGGGAATCTTCCTCATGAGCCGCGTGCGCGGTCGCGGCGACGTCGCGAAGCTTGCGTTCGTAAACCGTTATTTTTAATTAATTGGTCATTTTACATGTAAAATAAAATAATATTATTTACGTAGGTATGTCACAAACAAATATGAAACAGACCATAACTATTTGGAATAAAAATTATGAAAAATACAGATAAAAGACATTGTAAAATATTCAGCCGCTTTCTTACTCTTTGTACCTTACAGTAATGTATTTAAATAGCACTGCCACAAATTTAAACATAAAACACCTTTTATAAGAGATAGAGAGGCCTTAATTTAATGTACAATTATTTCGATTTCATATATAGTTGTAGAATAAGATATCTGAATCATAAAACATTTTCCATTCAGAGTCTTCTTACGTTTAATTTGACTTACAATCATAAGAGAGTTAAGGAAACATTTATTGCTTCTTACGCACAACTTCACCTGAATTGTAAACCACACTAGTGTACCGTGAACCTGTGAGTAATTGCTGGCATTACTTATTCAATAAACAGATAACAGGTGAAGTAGTATTGTGCTGAAAACCATTGTGAATTAGGACATTTTTTTACATTAGTCATAACACTTAGGAATTTATAAGCATTAATAAAATAACAAAGACCATTGAATATATGGAGCATGCCTCTAAATAACTTGATGGCACCATAATTGCTTCAGAAAAATTTATGTATTTTTTATATCTTTTTCTTGTTTACGTTGATGGAGCCAAAATCTTCACATCAAAATATGATTGTAGCGTCTTTCCCAATTACTTAACACTTGCTACTTTTACCAATAAAAGTATTGCAATTGGGGCAGTAGTGCTCTGCATCCTTGAATGTATCAAAGCAGTATGGGACCAGTCCAAGACAGCAGAGAGAGCAGATCCTGCAATAAAGATGGAATACATTAATATTTAACATTATTTAGCTTACTCAATTATTATCTGTATACTTTAAAAGTAGGTCATAACATAAGAATGTAATTTGACATCACCTAGATATTAGTTTCTTAGTTTTAACAAAATGAAAGTGTAAGTAAAACAGAAGAAATTATGATACTAAACTATGTATAATGAAGAACTTACATGGTAATAACACACACAGATCCAGCCACTAGATGGGTATGCCAAGCTGTTGTGTATGTAACTCTTGTAGTGACCACTTTGCCACAGTTGAAACAAGTTATAGTGGTGGGCTCAGTGCCCACTGCAGGCGGGAGTACTATGCCCACAGGCACGGGACCGGGCGGCTGCGGCGGCCCCATGTCGCCTGCTTGCGGCTGAGTGTTTGTCACAGTGATTGTAGGATGTGGGTAAACCCCCGGAGCTGTATACTGCTTAGGTTGTGCCTGCGGGTGCGGGTAAGCACCGCCAGCAGCCGCATATGGTTCACCTCCAGGCGCTACGAAGCCATATTGTGGGTTACCCACAACAGCTGAGTAAGGCGGCGGAAGATCTTCAGGCGCAGAAGCCACTGCACCTGTCCCAGCGATATTTGCCATTGTTTTCTGGTTTCAATCAAGGTGCAAGATAATACACTACACTAAGTAGAAATGAAATTGTAATAACAAAGGAACTCGAGAACAAAAATTTGTTAACTTTTATTTATTTTACGAAACGATGCACGAAATTAATCTGAGAGATAAAACATATCATGACGTCATACGTCAATTTTCCTAGACTTAATAAACTCTTTGCGTCAATGTCAGGTGCACTGCTTGTGAAAAACAAAGACAAAAGTACTTTGGTATGTGTTCGGATACGCGTACGTGCACTGTTATGGTACTGCAGTACGCGCAGCGTTAAAAAGTGTTGTTTTTAGTGTTTCTTTTCTACTAACAATACTTTTACTTTTCTTAAAAGTGATTATTTTTTTTTATCGGCGATCAATCGCAAGACTATGATGATAAGTTCAATTGTTATGGCGATTCGGATTAGGTGAAGGAACCAGTGTCCCTTCTGCCTTTTTAAAGCACGTTCCTCCGCTTCAGCCTGTTCGCATTGAGCGTGCAAGTTCATTGGCGAGAGTGATTGGATGCTTCGAGAGCCGTTCCGCATATTTCTTCTTGAAATTATTAATTTCTGATTGGACAGTTGGAATGTTAAAATATTCGTGTATTTACGCATTTCTGGAGAACCACTTGCACTTGTGATGGAACGCAAGATGCTATTTTGAGCTTATTGAATGCTTATGATGTTGCTTATTAACGGTTCCCCACAAAGGGATTCCAGATAGGCTTCAGCACAGCGTTGTAAATCAGCAGTTAGTTATCCACACACAGGACTGAGTTTCTTCCCATAAGCCAGTAAAGCTTCCTGAACTTGTGACTTATTTCATCCCACTTTTTTTTGATGTGGTTAGGTACAAGTAAGTCAAGGTGGAAGCCAAGATACTTAACAATTTCCGAATCAGGCAGCAGGGCGTTGTCCAATTTTACCTTTAAAATAAGCTAAATCTTCTCAAGGTAAATGTGATGTGATATCTGAGCACATATCCAAATGCGCCACCTTTCCATCCGTGAGTATGCCTCGTGTGGTAGGTGTTGGAGTTTATCAGTAGCCGCTGGTGCCTATCTCTAGTGATGATGTCCCACCAGCGGCAACATCATCTGCATATGTAGCGTATGTACGGTGACGTTCTTAGGGACAGGCAGATCCGAGGTGAATATGTTGTATAACACTGGGCCAAGCACAGGCTTTCTGTTTTATCTGAAAGGGTCTGTATTCTAGGTACGATTTAGTAATGAGGGAATGAGGAAGTTTCTCTTTCACTTTGCATAGTAACCCTTTATGCCAAACTTTATCGTAGGACTATTGTTGTGTGTCCAGGAATGCTGCTGAGCAGAGTACTGCTCGAGCTTACCATGAGCCTCGCTTTGAGAAGAAACAATAGTTTCTTCTAAGCCAAGAAATACTTCCGTATTTGCAAGCCATTTGGAGAAAGCCTTCTCTACTTTCGTGCGGACCCATGAGTTTCCATTTTTAAGGATGAAAATGATCTTGCGGTTTGTGAGCGGTTTTAGTAGCCTTCCAAAGCGACATTTCGCCTTTGCCAGTGACAGTCTTTCTATGAAGTTTCGAAATATAACATCGGTTGATTCTCAAAGTAGTTAAGATTTTAATTGTTTAGCAGTCAAGTTGAGGGCTGTTTTGTCGGTAAGGTGTTGTGACTGATGCCAGACTTTTCGTAGACGTCTCTTCTCAGCAAGTTTTGCTTTTATGTCTGCTGGTTGAGGAGACATCGACGGAATTCGAGCTAAGCAAGGCAAGTTTTCCGGGCTGATACTTGAATTAGGTTAGTAAGGTACTCACAAGAATTATCGACATCCTCTGGATATTTCATAGGGGTATTTAACTGAATGGACTGCCTCGTTGGCCGAGTGGTCGCAAGTGCGACTGCCGAGCAAGGGGTTTCGGGTTCGATTCCCGGGTCGGGCAAAGTATTACTGGGTTTTAAAAAAAATTCTCAGTAGTACCACGGAGTCTGGAAATGTGCCCGGTATATGGCAATAGGCTCACCCCCTATTACATGGGACTCATAACATAAATAGTGAAAAGTGGGTGTTACTTCTGTGTGCACTTCTGGTGTTACTTCGGGGATAAAAAAGGCGTGATGTTATGTTGTTGTTTAACTGATATTGTTTTCAAAGAATTCACGAAACCCCTGCCAATCATTTTTTCGGTTGCATAGGGCATCAGACGGTTCAGAATATATGACTGAAGTGCAAACGTGAGTATTACGGGCGTATGATCTGACGAACCATCATAGCTCGATTCTATGGAGGAATAGAGATGACTGATGCCCTTCGTTATGAAGAAGTCGAGAAGATCCGGAGATTTCTAGTGATCAGCTGGCCAACTTGTCTGTTCTCCATATGATATTGGAGTGAGGAGAAGAGCAATCAGGTGGCTCTTAAGGTCTAACTCGGTAGTGTAATACGAGAATCTCAGTCTGTGTGCTTTGGGTTCCAGTCCCCGCCTGTTATAAATTTATTTCCAAGTCGCAAAAATAAGTGGTTGAACATTTGAGGAGTGAGAACTTTATAAGGGACAGAGTCTGAAATACAAATACTAGGAACCGCACGAAAGTTACTGACATAACATCGTGAATAGCTGTTAACCGTTAGGATGGTAGAGTGGTTTCTAGAGGTAAGAACTGGTCACAAAACATTTAAACACCTCTACCTATCCTTTTGAAGGTTATCATCATCATCAACAGCCTATAAATGCCCACTGCTGAGCAAAGCCTCTTCTCACACGGAGAAGGTTTTGAGCATTAATCACCACGCTTGCTCAATGCCTGTTGGTGATTTGAAACTTATAATTAGAAATTATAAGTCCAGGTTTCCTTACGATGTTTTCCTTCACAGTTTGTCAGTGGTGTCTAAATAATCTTAGAAAGTTCATATGACTCGGAAAAAGTCACATTGGTACTTGCCGTTAGTAGGTTTCGAACCAGCACCCTCATGTATGAGAAGTGCGTCATAAACCTCTGGGCCACCACGACGTGGTTTGAAGGTTATAGTATAGAATTTTTATTCTGTGTCTGTGTCTATCTTTCAGACAAGGACACTATTGAAAATCAATCAATCAATCAAAATCAACAACAGCCTATAAATGCCCACTGCTGAGCAAAGCCTCTTCTCGCACGGAGAAGGTTTGAGCATTAATCACCACGCTTGCTCAATGCGGGTTGGCGATTTCAAACTTATAATTAGAAATTATGAGTCCAGGTTTCCTCACGATGTTTTTCCTTCACCGTTTGTCAGTGGTGTCTAAATAATCTTAGAAAGTACATATAACTCGGAAAAAGTCACATTGGTACTTGCCGTTGGTAGGTTTCGAACCCGCACCCTCATGCATGAGAAGCGGGCGTCTTAAACCTCCGGGCCACCACGACATCTACTAGGGGGATTGATTAATGATCGATACTAATGCCAAAATAGCAATCAGTGAAAGTTTTGTCTGTCTGTCTGTCTGTCTGTATGTATGTTCCTTATAGAAACAAAAACTGCTCGACGGATTTTAACGAAACTTAGTACAATTATTCTTCATATTCCTGGGGAGGTTATAGTATACTTTCCAACGTGCTACAATCAATAGGAGCAGAGCAGTGAAGGGTAATGTTGGGAAAACGGGAGAAGTTACTTCATTTATTAAGCTTCCGTCGCGTGTGCAGCCCTAATGGTTAAAGCTACATAGACATCATGTATGACGGAAATGCTACATAAAATTATCTAAAAAATATCCCACAATAGCATATGTCTATCTTTTATGGTTGACTCACAATAACACGTGTAACTCCCGAGAGCTTAGCAGTTCGGAGCTTTCTGCTTATATTTGTTAACTTTTACGTTTATAATACTCTTTTAATTCTGCGGCTCAATCCCTAGGCACACTTACTGTACCAAACGCAAATATAAGTTTGTCGATGTTAGGTTGTCCGCAATAGACTTTACGCTGTAACTGTAGGGCCGATGGTTGAAATTACCTTGAACCGATATTATAAATGTAAAAATATGTGTTTGTGTGTATGTTTGTTACTCAATCATATTAAAACGACTGAAGGGACCGGAATGAAATTCGGAACAGTGATAGATAAGGTCTGAAGTAATTACATAGGCATTTTACCCCTGGTATCGCAGGCGAAGCCGCTGGTACAAGCTAGTATAAAATGAATTACACAAATTAAAATAATAAATTACACTACTTTTTTGAGTGAGGTGAATCATCAAAAGACTCCTCCCGCCGTGAGTGAGGTGTGAAGAACTGTAAGATTCTTATTGACTAAAAACCACCGCGTTCCAACTCCTACTTAGAGCCGTTTGGTCTTAATAACTTATGGCGCTCTATTCGTAATCGTAACTCCAGCCGGAATAAGTTACACCCTGCGGTATGAAAAACATATACTTTAAGATCTCATTTCCCGTATTGAAACTTAATTTTGCCACTAAATTATACACGGACGTCTTAAATGTTCCATGACCCACATGTAGGATCACCCACCGCCCAAAAGTAAGTAGATGCCCGATGTATTGGATAACATTGATCCTCGGATGTCTGATGTCTGCAGTGGTGGTGGTGGTGGATGTTGGGTAATAGTTCTCAAGCCTGTTACGGCTTACGAGCGCTGCGACCAGTAAAGTGAACGGGTCTGTGTGACGCGCGCGCATTCACCTCTATCGAATATTGACGAAATTTTACCAACACAGCCTACTATTTCGTATAAACAGTTCGTAATTTTGTACTCAAACGTTTGCTGTACGTAGTTTTGTACATTCCAGTTTTTTGTGTTGTGTTTACAGACATTAAGTGCGTCCAGTCTCAACATTAAGATTTCCGCATCTGAGCACATTAAGTATTTGGGTAATTAATGTTGAGTAATCATCTCATTTTACAGCCTAAATGATTTTGATATTAGGTTTTAAGTCTCTGCAACAGTAGAGCGGTGGAATGTTTGAAACTGATACATATTTAAGCATTTGTAATAGTATTGCAGTCTGTACCGGTTGCGGCCGCGGTGTGAGCATTAATCAATCAATACTTAATTTAAGAAGACTTTAACTTTTAGTGAAGTTTTATAGTAAAATTAAGGAATACTTAATCAAATGTTCCCTTATAGTTCAAAGAGCAACCTAGGCTTCGAGTTATTTGTAGGTAATGGAGTTGAGACTGTAGGTAGAAGCCCAATTTGCCGGCTTCAGATTACAATGCGCATACATAATCATTTTTTGTTGACACTATTGTAGTGTTTTTTGTTGATTCAATCAACGTCTTCATAGCTAAAGACAAACTGATAATGAATAAAAAGATATTTATGTATTTTAATTTTATTTATGTTAGATGTAAGAAGCACGTACCCTATAAAAACGGTATTGCACTTCATACCTACGTTACTCGACTGTGAAAGAATTAGTATTTGGAAACCACGTGTTTGGCCACTCGTCTGACTCACAGTCACAACAGACGGTCAGCTGTGTTGATCGTAATGTTTAGCTATGCAAATAAACGTTTTATTACAATACAAGCGTCTTGCCCGCGACCTCGTTTGAGAAATTTCCGCTCCAGGAATTACGAAAATTCTTTCTTCATTATTAAGATTATTTCAAGTTTATGTCAATCATAGAAAATTGTGATCTTATTCAGGGTTTTATTAATATTTACCTAAAATGTGTACTTTATAAGTGCAGTGGGTGATATAAAAGAGTGCTCAGTAGGCTGGATATATAAATAAATAGCTTGACGCGAGAGATGGGACATCAGGGTAATTTTTAATAAGTAAGTCAAAGTCAAAGTCAAAATCATTTACTTCAATTAGACGAGAAAGGCACCTTTGAACGTCAACAATAAAATTAAAAGTGAAGCTATTTGCTCATTCCAAGGTGTAGATCCCTATGGAGTAGAACGAGCAAGAAACTCCATAGGTTACTCTTTTTCAATCAGGTTCATAAAACAATTCTCTAGTTACATAGTTTGTTGTTTGGATTGTGCGAGAACAATGTAACACTAAAATCTAGTCAAAGTGATCGAAAAAGAAAATAACCTTAAAGATAATAATAGTCTGGAGCTGACCAGTCCCAGTTGATGGCGCCCGTTCACGAACATGACACGTACACCAGCACCGCCCAACTCAACCATACCTGTAGTAGAGAGTCTGACAGTTTCCTACGTCTGCTCCGGCGAGGAACCTCCATATTTTCCTAAAAAATACTTACTACTAAATGGAAAACCCTAAAAGTATCTCGGTGGGCTCACAGCAATAGACATAGTACAAGTATTTATAATCTCCTTAGGGGCTGCACTAGCGTACAAGGCACTTAATTATGAGTTTATTCACCATTGTAGATACTATAATATGTAAGTATCAGCAAAATCAGCTTCTAATACCTTCCTTAATCATAAAACCTGCAACTATAGATTCGGATCTCTGACTACAACGTAACAGCACTAACCGATAGTCCGATAGTCCTTATCAACTCATGGAAGCACAACCAATAGCCTAGAATTATAATCTCTAATCAGCTGGTATTACGTAGGTTCAATACAGTTACGAGAATATTAGCATGTAGGTACCTACAATATTTGAAGCGTATCATGACTAGATAATTATATAGGAACAATGCACGTTGGATAATAAAGAGGTGTGAGGCGTGATAGTGTGATGAGTATAGTTCTTTACTCTTGTTGCTCGTGTCTCAGGGAAGTTGTCGTATAACACGCAGCTTGCAAATAGGAATGATTAATGACTCTAATATGCTGCAGTTATGACAATCCCATGGCATAACTGCGGTGGAGGGGTGGCGGGGGCGCCGGGGCGGTAGGCTGCTCCGTCCGGCTCGCTTTGCTTTTTTGTTATATAAATAAAGGCCGTTTTTTTTCTTTCTAATATAAGGGAAAATTATTTAATGTAAGTAATATTTAACTACCCGGATGTGTAATTTTATGTTTTTTTTATTTATTTTGTAAAATTATTAGCTATGTTTATTTAATTAATTATTATCATTTAATCTATTTGTGTCTAATTGGTGGCTTGCTCGTCCGCGAGTCACTTAAGGGGCCAGTATAATATCAGCGTAAGGCCATGAACATGTATCCATCAGTTCCTGTTAAATAGAATGACACATCTGTACCTACATGTCACTTGTTTTGGCGTGAAATTGAGTTTTTTTCTTTCCTTCTAATGATTATGATTGGTTAATTATGAATTAATTATGTTAGTACACTTCTAGTTCGACTTCGACAAACGTTTATCAGTGTGTTTGTGACGTGTAACTTTTTTTGCTGATTTTCCTGATTACAAAGACAAATAAGTAGAGAAATGAGATCATAATGACGCACCTAAGTGCACAGAAGTGTAAATGTGTAAATTGTAATAGGTAGGCGTTTCGTCGCTATCTCGCCTGATGGTAAGCGATGGTGCGGTCTATGATGGAGCACGCCTGCATAAGCAACACCAAAGCAAAGTTTTAATAAACGGAATAAAACTTTCTGTAATCAACTGTAAGCATTTTTAATTGGTCTCCATTGGTCTCCATATATGAAAGAAAATACGCGCCTTTTAAGCTACTTTGGCGATCATACGACCGACAAGGCAGTCTTCTACTTCTACATAGTCATATTACTCCCCGGAACAAGATGGGCAAAAATATACACCTGCTTCTTACCACTTAGGTAATAATTTCTATCACTTTACACAAGGCCTTGTCTTTTGATAAACTCGTGAGGTGTGGACAGTAGTGGACGGTACCGGTCCACCTTCACTTCGCCGCAGTAATATCTACTTCCTACATTTAGGGATGTTGTTCTCTAGTGATGTAACTTCAGAAATAACTAGGTACACTGTACACTCTCCAATCGTTGTGTAACTGTTCCGGGGTTCTGATCTTATTTGTACCTACACCTGTTACTTGGTTGTAGGTATCTAGTATTAATTCTATTGCTGTTATATTGTGTTAGCAGATTATTGGCATTTATAAGCCTTTATTTATTTTTGGTTCAATACGAAAATATATAGAATGGTTGTACATACATATTATAGAATAGGCTTTTGATTTTACTGTCCAGTTCTAATTAGATCCCTAAGGAATGAAATAAATGTTAATTATTCGTCTTTGAAATTTGTGACATACATATATCTAGTAATGGAAACTATACCGGAGATTTGTACCTAAATGTTATAACTTAAAAAGCGCGAGAGACCCAGTATAATGAAATTATAGTAGCTAGGTACCGGTACCGCAATCGAATGTATTTATTTGCATACAGAATCTATTGAAATCAAATACATATTATTATCATACAATATCCTCAATAATGTGTGTCATTGTCACAACATTTAAATTATCTAAAAATGAAATGTATTTTTAACGATCAGTGTCGTTGATGTCTTTTGTACGGCGGACACGTTTCCTTCTATTTTAGCTTCCTGATATTATATATGTGTTAACTAGACAAATTATCGTCTTGTCAGGTGTAATCTTTATTAAGCTTTTGCATTAGGGATGCATGAAAATAAAAATCTGTTGAACCTTGTTACAAAGAGTAAGCAGACTTTTATGTATATTAACTTTTCGAGACGGGAACAATTTGCTTATTCCGTGGTAACCGTTACGTATTGCACTAATGCGATTACATCATTTGTTTGTAGACATAATAAACATGACATAGCCAAATATTGTTTTTAATTGTTATATATTCATGAATTTGTGACTAACAACTACATGCCTCATTGTACTTGTAGTAAGTAGTGAGTGAAAGTGCAGGTTGAATAATATCGAGAGCGTCGCGCTCGGCTCGGCGCAGGCGCAGCTAAGCGCATGCGCGTGCCAACTTGCCAAGTAAACGAGGCTTTAAACATTAGTTCTAGTCGATATCGGAGTAACTAGTGTAGAAAGCATTTGAGATGAAAACTGATATAATTATACATAATGTACACCGTTACCATAATTATTTTATATAAGTGTATTTTAATGCTTCCTTTGACGTTTTTATTCGTCTAATTTGGTTTAATAATTCACAGTTATAAAAAACCTAACTGGCTGTATTTTAACCGGCTTTAGTAGAACTCTGATTCATGAATCCTGCAATTTTAATTAATACAGCTACGATAGTGATTGACAGAACCATTTTCAATTAATAAGGCGTCCTATTCACATTATACATTTTTTTTATTAATCACTTAATGCCTTTACTCACACCGATTACAGTGCATAAACACAAACAGCGACAGAAACAATTGGAGTTGCCAACTTTGCCAAATGGTTGAAAGTTTCTCCAAAGAGTTATTGAAGCGGTAAATCATTGCCATTGTACATTATTATTTGTTTGGTTAATGCTCACTGCTCTTCATTACAGATTTGTGCAATCAGTTACAACTCTGTTACCAAGTATACTGAATTTCGTAAGTCTTTAGACAAGAGAGGATTAATTTAACTACAATGAAGTTGAATTAGTAATTTGTAGGCAGTATAAAAAGTGAGGAAACGAGTCGACCGCCCTCGTAACCCTCGGAGGACCAACCTTGATATTAAATCGTCATTTGAATACTTTTATTTATATATTATCCTTATACCCTCTAGGATTACAGAAACAACGGAGCATTAGACAGTTTAACAAACATTGAAAAAGTGACTGAAAAATCAGTAAAACGAATAAATGGTGCCTCGATAGGCAATCGTGTAAGGAACTGTCAATTATACGTACTTTACTAGTGAGAACTGAAAGTGTTAAGTGAATAGAGACGAACACAAAGATGCGTGTGCGCTGGTGGCGCGCCGTGGTGCTTTGCGCATGTGCCCTTGTGCTGCGCAGCCACGCCCTGCCTCCTGCCACCCTGGGCGATGTCGTCGCCAACGCTGCTACCAGTCTCAACTCTATGAAGGTCAGTAGTTAATATACATTGACACTTTCTTAATATCTTATCACTAAATTTGGAAGGAATCATTATGTGTATAACATTTTCAGTCAGTTTTTTGCTCTTATTACTACTTATACGAACCAAACTTTATGATTTGCACTATTCATCAGTTAAACCTACTTACTTAACAACAATCGACGTAGCAAAGTATTATAAGTAATTGAACAATTTTATTTAAATAGGAAACTATAAATCTCTTATGCTGTAATATTATTCATTGGTAGTTGATATATTAGGTAACATCAACAATCACACAGATTCGTTGAATTGGCATTAAGTACCAACATAATAGAAAATGCATCGAGGTTATTGCATACATTAATAATATTTTACGAATAATATCAAACGATTGATAATACATACCTACATTTACGCCTGTCTCCCAAGGAGGTAGGCAGATTAAAATACAATTGATAACGATTGCAAAAGTATATTTAACTCGCCTAGAATGTGTCTACAGACAGCTTAAATTAATAACTGATCGTTTGACTGTAATTCAATAGAACTAATGTAAATAGAATTGAAATCAAAGATTTTAAATCAAAAAGGGTTAATAATTTGGACTATAAATCCATAGATTTAAATATGTACTAGAGTTCTTTGTTCTACAAGGCTGTATTAATGCAGAACACATTGGAACAGTCACATAATAAGATAATGTGTTACAAGTACCAATGGTTCTCGAAAGAGGCCGCTGCCCACGGTACACACTCTGCATGCATATTTTCACAACTTAGAAATCACTTCAACCGAAAAGATTTCACTGTTACAACACACAATCTAATCTTATTCACAAAGGGCTTACGATTTCATGTGCAACCTTGCTCTGTAATAGAAATGTACCATTTTTTACTCTAAGCACGTGGAATTACAACAGTACGTTGCGCTATCATCCAGGGAACGTCCTAAGAAGTACGTGTGGTAACGAGAAGTGTGCCGCATTCAGACGGTCCACATTATGTCTATACAGTTCAGGGTGAAGCAACTCCGTTTAAGTTTGGAATGTAATGTTTATGGCCATAATATTACGTTCGGTTCGCAGGGTAAAATATTGGTCTGCGATAGAGGTGCTTATACAGATACAGATAACAGAATCCTTTAAAATTCATTTATAATATAAGTGTCTCCTTATAAGTAAAATTACCTTAAGAATCTTAGGTAACTACCAACCTTTTCGAATATATCAATTGATCTAAATTAAACTGTCAAATACCAAGCGGTCACCGGTGACCGCAACCTATTGTTCTATAATTGTGTCTGCAAAACTGGTACTCGACGAGTTAAAGACAATACAACAAATGACGGTAAATATAACTTATCAACGTATGGATATGCAATATTTCGAGCAGAAATCTCAATTATCCCTAATAAATCTATACATACATTATCGCAAGCGTAACTGAAGTACCTAAGTATACATTCAAATATTATCCTTATGATTGACTGTCCTGAATGATGATAGATTTGCCAAACCCGGATATCATTAACATAAAACTATTATTTTTTTGGTTCATATAATAATAATAATAATAAACATTTATTTCAGAATTAATTCCATACACGACAGACATTGTAGCTACATTATTGTTAGTAACAGAATGAACTTATAAACTAGTGTTAGTACATATATTCTACGAGCATGAGGCTCGCCGAACCTGGGGATGTCTACTTGACTGCATGCAGTCGTATCCACCGCCCCAAGATCGGAGAGTCCCACCTTTCAGCCAACGCTCCGAGAATGGTGTTGGGGCTGTCGCGAACCCGGCGAAGCATAGATGCGCATCTCTTACGCATGATGGTAGCGAAACTATCAACATTGGCGTCGGCAAACATGCCGGACGCGCTACAAAATCGCGGCAGCCCCATCAACACCCGGAACGTGTTGTTATATTGGGTGCGCAGGCCATCATATGCCCTCCGCGTAAAGTCCACCCACAGGCTGCATGTGTAAAAGGATTGGCAGTAGGCTTTGAAAAGCGTCACCTTTACCTGAGCCGTACAGCGTGCAAACCTGTGGGCCAACATCCCACAACGGACAGCCAGCGACCTACGCTCCCGTTCAATATCAGCGTTGTCCTTTAAGTCGTCTGAGACCCAATGTCCCAGATATTTAAAATTAGCGACTCTATTTAGAGGTCTCCCACAAAGCATAACTGGTGGGATTGTGTTATAAGATTTATTACCTGCTTTGAACACCATAAGTTCGCTCTTCGTCGCATTATATATGAGCCCATGAGTCCCAGCGTAAGATTCACATATGTCAATCAGTTTTCTCAAGGCCCTGACCGATGGGCTCAGCAGAACCATGTCGTCAGCATAGCTTATATTATTAATGCATACACCATCAATATGACAACCTATCCCGGTTTTGCTCAGCCCATCGATCAGGTTATTCATGTACAGATTAAACAACGCAGGCGAGGACAACCCGCCCTGCCTTACCCCACACTCAAGCCTGTACTCAGCTGAAAAGGAGTTTGCCCAGCGAACACGGTTCCGCTGATTCGCATACCAAAAGGGCATTGATTAAAATTGGTGCCTTCCTTTTTTCTGGCGGCAGTTGATGATTTATGGAAAATATTATCTAGAATGACATTACAAACGAAATTGTCTATGGGCTCATATATGGAAATCTCAGTCTGGACTGAGTTATGAGCGTTGAAAGGAACTGGAGACAAACATTTTACTTTGGTTTTTTTATTCAAATTATTCATATTTTTGTCACAATTCCTAACTTCAAATTGCGCGCCACTGTACGCCGGGCGCACTAGAAACACCAAATCACACCACAATATATCCATATTGCCAGTCGCTAATTTTTATTAGCTATTTTCTCTCAGTCAATAACTTGTGGGATGCTTCTAGGAGTTGTGTCATGAAGTTTCATGAGTGGCAGCTGTGGTACCAGTGGTGGGTTGAGTAGTTGTAGCCGTCCAAACATCTAATAAAGTATTTTTTTTCCGTTGACTCCTGGTGGTAGACTCTTCAAAAAATTATGCTAACTATGAAGTAGATCTTCACCGTCGCCTTTGTTATGTGATGGACTATATGTCAGATGAGCGCATAATTTGTTCATATAATGTGATCAGTCGAAATCCATCACTTTGTGACTGAATGACGATGTCTTTGTACAGAATATTATGCTAGATGTAGATTAAAGTATTAACTGTAGTTAGATTAGTTACTAATCGGAAGTAAGTCGGTAGAAATAGACAGAAAAATATTTTTTTCGTGGTTTGACAACTGCTGCTACTCAATCCGCTATCGACGCCGCAGCTGACAAACATAGCATTTCATGATAGGGCTCAGTGAAGTATTCTGCGGGTTTTCGACTGAGAGGAAATTGATCATGAAAATCTGTCATAGGCCATAAACCGTATACATATAAAGTGAACACGCTAGCCAATCAAGCGAAATGTTTTTTTTTAACTTCAGCAGTGGTCAGTTAATGGTTCACTCTGTTCTGATTCCGTGGCTTTATAATAAGAAAAAAAAAAACAAAAAAAAAGTAAAAACGTCCACAATAAGCTTTATTATATTTCTTGAAATCGTTTATAAACATTTATTACAAAATATTTCTGACAAGTAAATGAAGAAATATGCGTTGTGTACGGTCACCATCAATAAAATCACGGGAATAATATAGCACTATTCACATCTTTGAACTGATTTAACTCGGTTTGGACTGTGTTTTTGATATAAGACCCCTTATATTTTTTTGTTTGTAATGTTATTCTGCATCAGTTTTTCCACATCCGGTCAACTGCCGCGAAAAAATTAAAAGGCACCACGCTCCATACAAATTTGGTCATTGTCATTTAAACACATTTATAACTTCCTTGGGCAAATCCGTCTCTTGTTGCAGTTTATCCCATTACACAGTATACATATAGTCTTTCAATAATAGATTAACCGCAATATGGTCTTAATCATAGGTTTTCTAGACTTTTCTGTAATACTGGGCTAATGTAACATTCCATTGGGTGAGTGCAATACTATAAGTATTAGGTTAATCTCAGCGCTGCCGATAGACAGTTGGTAACTCAATTGATGATATATTTCATGTAATAGTAATGACTTCCTATAATTTTAAGTCCAATTGAGTGCAGGACCTAGTTTTCGTAACGTTGCTAATGTATAAAAGTAATGCGATGTAAATGAAGATTGAATCGTTACAGATCCTTCGTCGAAAAGCTTCAAAGCGATTTCGAAGTGTTCTTAATATTAAATAAGTAGTACCTACCTGTTTAACATAATGTAGGTACTGTTTGTTGAAAACGTAGTAATTGTCGAAATTGCTTGGTACTGTTACCTTTTTTAAATTTATTACCTAACTTTACTTGTAACTAAGAGAGGACTTAACATCAAAAGGTATTGGTATATTTATTTATACCAATACCTTGGTATCACATAAATACGCAAGTCTGCTTTTAAGAAACCTACAAAAAGATATAAAATATCATCTTGACACATTTTCCAAGAACAATTAGAGTTCCAAGTTAAATTAAGGTCTAGACTGTTTATTATTAAATAAATTGCTCAAAGGACTATAACATTAACATACAATCAGTGAGTATCGTTAAGGAATTGCTTTGCAGTTGCATTTTCGCAACGCTGTCCGAATGCCCGGCCATATCCATGAGGTTTTATTGGACTATTATACGAAAGTCAATGTTCGTCGTATGCCCTCGGGTGACCAAACCCATGTGGCATAACGATGGTAACTCTACCTATACGTAATTCAATTGTCTTTAAGATAATATGAAGCTACAATCCGAATCGTTTTATTAAGCAGGTATTTGAATGTCGCAGTCTTCGTAGCGGGATACTTGCGGTACTTGCAATAGGGGAATGGATAGGTACTTACCACAACGGCCTAGCTTATGATCTACTTGACGGTATTTCGTACATTCATTTTTTTTTTGAAGGTTTGCTTTTTCAGATAATGGGAAAGAAATATAATTTAAGGTTTTAACTTTAGTTTCTGCTGTAGCAGACGGCTACTAGACTGCAAAATCAAGTCAGGCATAGTTACAGATGTTACAGTACGGTTAGTTACAGTTACCTTCGATATAGACATCCTTTTTGCTCGAGTAGACAACAATAATCAAAGATTATTACTACTGTTACGTACCAATGTAATCAGTTTAACTATATACTTCCAAATATCGGATACGATTTCATATATCCATTGTGTTACAATTTCTAAATCGAAAAATCCTACCTAGTGCTATATTACAGGTGTAGGCACACACCTGTAATATTGACTATTACGTACTATCCATTTATCGATGACAACGACCACTAACGGTCCGACTTGCGACCACTTCAATAGTGGAGTGTAACGAATGGAGTTTCTTGCTCGTTCTTCTGCACTCGAATCGACATTTTGGAACGAGCGCCTAGCTTCACTGACGGACAGACTGACAGACTATTATATATTTCATATTTGTTGACGTTTCAAAAGTATGGTTTAATTGAAATAAATGCTTTTGAGTTTGAGTTGAGTTTGAGTGGTAATGTTTAATATTTGAGAGTTCCAGGTCCTGTATTTTTTTAATGTACCCACTGTAGTAAATTCTCTTATTTCGTTGATGCGTTTACACACATACGAATTCACATACATATACCCAGGCAGGACCCAAACCCCAAATTACAATTTGCAATTTGTGGATCACATGAACGTGTGACACGTTGCATACCAGCCAGTTGTTCAGTCACTGCGCCATCCATGCAGTTGCAACCACTTGTTGGGCACGTGTTGTCGCATTTCAAATAATAATTTTGGAAATCTTTTATATAATTTGTAAAATATAGAAACAAAGAAGTTAATTAAAAAATTTACTGTTGTAAGAATTGCAGCAAGAAGTGCACAAAAATCAAATGTGTTGTCATAATAATTACATATAATACATTGTGAGTATAATTAGCATATAAATATCACGATACAAGAACTGGTTTGGACACTGCATAACTTGCTGCAACCATCGATAACATTAACTTTGGTGTGCATATAAATCTTCTTGTTACTACTGTACTTACATGATGATTTTTATAAACCTTGACACCAGACACCATCGTCCATCATTGTAGACAGGGTCACGCTATTTATGAACAAGTCCTGGCATTAAATTGGTTTGTGACTCAGGTGGGAGAAATTGAGTTTAAAAGATTTTCGCTTGCGACTTTTGAGACAGGATGGGGTCTCTTGTATCGTGTCTATATGTATAACATAACATCACGCCTTTTTACCCCCGAAGAGTGCACATTTCGGCACTTAATGCCACTGTAGAATGTAACACCCACTTTTCACTATTTATGTTTTGAGTCTCATGTAATAGGGAGTGAGCCTATTGCCATATACTGGGCACATTTCCAGACTCCGTGCTACTACTGAGAATTTTAAAAACCCAGTAATACTTTGCCCGACCCAGGAATCGAACCCGAGACCCCTTGCCCGGCAGTCGCACTTGGGACCACTCGGTCAACGAGGCAGTCGTGTCTATATGTGGCAAGATGTTTGCTCGTTTTGTATGTGGCTGATCACCTGATCTATTAGATCTTGGAGCATCTACTTCAGTTGCGTTGGACAATCAACCTTGATATTTTCATAAAAAGTACTCTTGCTTGACTGATAATAGTTTAAGTTCAAAATTCTGCTTGCGTCACTCGCCCATTTATTAATATTTTATTTTATTTATTTAAAGGCCATCGCTATTAAAATTACGCAAAGTTGAAGTCTTTGAGTTTATGAATAAAGGCTCTATTGAATTTCGACGAAGACATTCGCATAGGCATATTATTGTGTAACAAATTGACTTAATGTTACAACATATCAACGAGCAACAACCTCTTCTCTAATTGAGGGCCCAAAAGTGTAGTTAGTTTTTATTGATCTTCATTAAAACCTTGATTCAGTTGAATGAGTTACACTCAGAGTCAAGATGTATGTAGAATTGTTGAGGTACGGTTTTTTATTTAATACAGACCATCATTAAGCGTGACTGTTATGATGTCAATGAATATGCGGTTAGGTATTATTATGCATTCAAAATTTAATCAAGCAATAATAGTACCTATTAAGTAACCGTATTTAAACTGTCAAACACCAAGCGGTCACCGGTGACCGTAACCTATTGTTCTATAATTGTGTCTACAAAACCGGTACTCGACGAGTTAAAGGCTAAACTTACTTTCGTATCAAAACTTTTGGGTTCATTTTGACATTCGAAGGTTCGAGAATCGTATAAACGAAGCTGCGGAAGGAAACTAGGTTAGTAACGAATCCATAACTGTGAATATAAACACATGGATGTGTGTTTGTTATGCAAGAACTGCTGAACTGATTTAGATTAAATCGGACTAAAGTATAGAATCTACATAACTAATATCATGACTTTTATCCTCGAAGGGGTAGGCAGAGGTGCACATTACGACACTTAATGGCAGTGTACTTACAATGTAACACCCACTTTTCACTATTTATTTAATGAGTCCCATGTAATAGGGGATGAACCTATTGCCATTTACCGGAAACAATTCCAGACTCCGTGCTACAATTGGGAATTTTTAAACGAACCCAGTAATGCTTTGCTCGACCCGGGAATCGAACCCGAGACCTCTTGCTCGGCAATCGCAATTGCGACCACTCGGCCTACGAGGCAGTCGAGTGAATCAACAATGTGATTAATTTCAATACCATTATCGTAGACTATGTGTTAACGTATTACACTCCTATATAGATAGTATTTTAGACAAATCGCAGATATTTTTCATCAGTCAGTTTCATACGACATAGGCCTGTCCAATGACATAGGAACCTTTGTGAGTTATAAATCAAGACAAGACACAAAAGCAATTTTAATAATTGTTCTTTGCAATATTACCGGAACTTAATTAACTATGTTGTAATGTGGTCTGTATCTTTCTAACGCATCGTATGCCGAGTGCGTTACCCACAAAATAATGCCAAGTGTTGTTATTACAGTATTCAGAGCGTGGTTGGCGGCCGCCGCGGTCCTTGAGCTTATGACAGTATTAATGTTTTGGAAAAATAAGCATGAATGAAACGTTTTTCAATGTAAAACTAATTGTTTTTGTGGTAATTAACTCACGAGGAAGGAAATGAAGTAGCTTATTCATGACGCATATCCTCGTACGTTTCATTAAGCGATTGAGTTAGCTCATTATGTTCTAATTGCTTACAAACATTTGTATTAAAGACATAGTTGAATAGCACTTTCATACATTTACCTAGTTTAAAGATGTTACAAGTACTGTAATATCGCAAATTCACGGATATACGTTCAAATCATAAAATTAAGCATTGCATTACTTGGATTGGAACATTATTTCTACTGATGTTACGTTGTCTTCGGGAAGTCCCTAAGTGCCTTATTTAATAAGAATATTGTATAATACGTCACAAAGTTCTTTAGTAACATTATGACGTATACAATGTCGGTAATACTTTGTTTTCGCAGTACCAACCTACGAATTAAAGTATTGTCTCGTTTTGTATCTAACCGTAAAGAGCAGATGAATTAAGGATACAGCCAGATTTGGGTAAGACCTGAGTCTTAACCAGATCCGGTGCCTCAACCTAAATAAGAAAAAGAAAGTAGGTGCAGCAAATATTGAAGTATTAACAGAAGTGGCGAAATCTGGATGCGTCATATATGGCAAGCATTTTACACCTACGTCTTCAGAGACAAGGTGGCGCTCTGGTGAGGTGATATATTGATATTTAATTTATCTTTCATTCTTGGAAATCGGTATAAATATTCACATCATTTTCTGTTACGTTATTTATGTAAGATACTAATTAATGGAGTTACATTTCGTTGCGTGTGATGTCGGCGCTGAAAGCGATCTTAAGCAGCTTGCGTGTGGTCTGTCACTCAACTAGGTATTTAAGTAAACTGTCAGTAAACACTGCGAACAATTATTCAAATTGGGCTAATTCGTTAACAACCATATTTTCTCACGCAAAAGTGTGAAAATTATAGTTATTGTACATATGAGGAAATAATTGTTTACAGAGCTCTTGCCGTCAACAGACAACACATCACGCGAGTGACAATAACACATATTGTTGTTTTAATGAGAAGCTTTATGATTTAAGTTAATGATTTTAAATGCTGATTGATGGTGGGCATGTAATGACTATGCCCACGTTTCTCTTGTGCACGTTCACCTAAGAAGGAACTTCTATAAGTATCGCAATTTTTTTAATTTTATCAGGTGACGGGAGCCTGGCGACGCCTTTCAAGTACGGTCAGCGAGTCAGTAGGTCTGAAGCACGCGTTACGTCGGCTGCAGGCGGTACCAGCGCGTGCGGCTCGGCTGGTTCACGCACTGGTAGATCGCATGCGCGTTGGAGGCGGGCCCATTGTCTTCACGCAACTAGGAGCGCTGCGTGGACGCAAGCTTGTTACCAGGACTACTGCTCAGACGCCATACTATAGCTTTAAGGGTATTAGGTATGAAATGCTATTAGTAGAACCCAACAACCTTTTACTACTTATTTAAGAATTGTTTATAAGATACTCAGGAATGTGACTCCCTCATTAAATTACTGCATCTATGTCTATCATTTGCAAAATAACGAGCATTATCCATGGTTGCAAAAATAATTTTAAGAAATCTTCGTAATCGTAGCATAATCATCAACTTAACTCAGAGTAAACAATGTAAATCGTTATTAAAGGTATGCCCAACCACCCCGAGGGTCTCTCCGGTTCCGGCCACCAGCCCCCTTGGAGCCATGGTCAGGAATACGGGACGCGCTGGAAGAGGGCGCTGTATGCCCTCATCGGTTCATGCTCTTCGACACCTACAAGGGAGACGAGGACTGTCTCTTCCTCAACGTGTACACTCCCGCGCTCCCTGATAAAATGTCTGGGTAAGTTACCTTTAATTGTGAACATTTTAAACATATACCTAATCAGCAATGGGCACATTCAGTGTTTCTTTTCTAGTCCCATTTTTTATCATTATTAATACTCACTAGACGCTCGGGATCAGTGTCCCTTCGTCCAGCATACTCACCATGGAATCCTGATATTTCATGAATGTCAAAAAACTGTTCTGAAATAGTGCTAAATAGTGCCCAAAGGAAAAAAATAGTGCTCTTGTACTTGCGAAGTTATAGCCATAGTTCGATGAGTATGCTGGACGAAGGTTTCGCCCAGCATACTCACCTCCGTCCGGAGAATCTGTATACGCTTCAAACATAATTCATACTTCAAAAAATAGTTCCCAAATAGTGCCAAACGGTGCCCAAAAAGAAAAAACAGTGCTCGAATAACTTCGGAGTTATAGGCTTCGTTCAGTGAGTATGCTGGGCGTAGGTTCTACGCCCAGCATACTCACCTCAGTGCGCGAATATCGAACGAGCTATAGGTACAATTTACGTCTCAAAAAATTGTGCTTGAAATAGTGCCCAATATCAGTCCAATTTTTGCTTGACTTTTGACTTAGAAAACCATTAAATTTTAATGTAAACTTCTACATACTAACGTAAAATGGGGTACAGTCGTCGACACATGTTTTTGGACAAAAATATTAAACTTTCTAATTGTAGACTTCATGTTATTGGAAATAATTATGGTATTTTCTCACATGTCAAAAACTTTCGATTAAATGCATTATTATATATTTTATAAATAATAATAAATGAATGAAACTTTAAGCGTAAATGAAGTCTATTACTTCATTGCATTGTGTGTTTGTCTGAATAAAAACAGTCATTTGCAGCCAATAAATAAAAGCGTCGCGGGCGCCGCGCGTCGCTTTGTGACACAAAATGGACCCTTATCACCTTCAAAATACAGATCAGTCTTGTCTAATAATCGTAAGATGTTAGGGCAGCGCCATCTAGTATTTAAACATAAACATATTCATTTGCGTCGCGGGCGCCGCGCGTCGTAAGCCCCATACCTATTGACCGTACGTGCATCCATTACTGCCACACTATATTGAACTTTATCACATGAGGAATACAGGTCAATTCCGTAAACGTTGTGGTACCGTCCTTGATCCGGAAAATGATTATTTTGAATAATTTTGTCAGTTGTAATGTAAGCATTAATAACAGCAACTTTATTTTTCATGCATGATTTACTTCATTTGATATCTTAATCCTTCAAGCGCCGTGATCTAGACAAAATATATAAAATCATTGTTCCTAGCTACCGGGGTCCCATGCGACGCGCGAAGGCTTAATCATATTATTATAAAGTATTATTAAAATAATGTGTAATTAATAATATTGCGATTCTAAAGTAAATACTCCCTTACATAGACAATTAATAATTTACACAAGACAAAAATTGTTAGAAAGAAAGTTAATAATATTGTATTCGACTGTACTCAATGTAATGTATGTAGAAGTTTACAATCAAATTTAATGGTTTTCTAGGTCAAAAGTCAAGCAAAAATTGGACTGATATTGGGCACTATTTCAAGCACAATTTTTTGAGACGTAAATTGTACCTATAGCTCGTTCGATATTCGCGCACTGAGGTGAGTATGCTGGGCGTAGAACCTACGCCCAGCATACTCACTGAACGAAGCCTATAACTCCGAAGTTATTCGAGCACTGTTTTTTCTTTTTGGGCACCGTTTGGCACTATTTGGGAACTATTTTTTGAAGTATGAATTATGTTTGAAGCGTATACAGATTCTCCGGACGGAGGTGAGTATGCTGGGCGAAACCTTCGTCCAGCATACTCATCGAACTATGGCTATAACTTCGCAAGTACAAGAGCACTATTTTTTTCCTTTGGGCACTATTTAGCACTATTTCAGAACAGTTTTTTGACATTCATGAAATATCAGGATTCCATGGTGAGTATGCTGGACGAAGGGACACCGGGATCAGACCATATTTATATCTGTTTAATTTGTAGGGGATTTAATATAATTAGGAGATTCGAAATTAAAAAAGAAGCACAAGGTTTGATTTGATGTTATTGGCTTTTTGGGACATAAAAAATGATAGACTCCAACGATAATATTGATAACCGATGCGGTCGCGGCTTTTGACCTCGTGTTACCAGCTGATTAATGAAACTAAAAGATTCACGGTTGTTGAGTAATCGGACTTTTTAAGGCAACAACGTATCAGCATCATCAGCTCATCTCACTGTAACACGTTGCCATTTAAAAACTTTTGTTAAAATTATTTTTGAATTAAAATATGACTTATTACTTATCGGCTTCTCCATGATCTACCTTGGATCCAAAATTGGCGCGCCTGGCCTTTAAGTATTTCATTAAGGTCCCTAGGTTGGCTAACCACCTTCATGCAGTACACATTTCATTGAGAAAACTCGCTGCGTCTACCTTTAAAGCGAATGTCCGTTATGGGATATTTTGTAATCAATGATACACTAAATTGCTTTTCATTTTTATCAGGTACAATCCAAAATTAGCAGTGATGGTTTGGATACACGGTGGTGCTTTTGCTATGGGCTCCGGTAATGCGTTCCTCTACGGCCCCGACCATCTCGTCGGTGCAGGAGTGGTGCTGGTCACACTCAATTACAGGCTCGGCGCACTGGGCTTCTTGAGTCTTGAGAACGAAGAAGTTTCTGGAAATATGGGTCTGAAGGTGCACTTGAATTTTTTTAAAGTTTCTACTAATTTTGATTTACTTTACATAGGTATTAGGTATAACATCGTTCTCTTTATTCTCTCTTTCACACCTCTTCTGAATACGAAACAAACACTGTATTTTAACAAAACTGACACAATCTTTGTTCACTTGTTATTGAAATTCTTTACACGTATATTTTAGTAGGCTTCGTGCGAGGCTATAATGTAGTTGTTTATAGTTTCATGTCTTTTCACAATACAATGTCTTTACTAACGCCTTTAAAGTTGGTTCACTAATTTTTGCGCAAGTGCTCAGCGGGTGGTTTGCATTTATGAACGTGTAGGTACCAAGTACATTCAGTCATATTGAGTGTAGCTACTGAAATATCTACGTGACACGTATAATTAGTGCATATTAGTTAGATATTTTCACAAAAATACAGGCATATATCTCAGCGTGTACTTAAGTTGTTGTTATTCGTATAGCCCTCGTCATGGCTTACCCATTCTGGCCAAGTTCGCAACATTTTTGACGCAAGTTGCACTGCAGCATACAATTATGTACCTATCTATGATGTTATTACGAAATATCTCAAGCATAATTGCACTGAATTTTAATTACTTTAAGGGTGATCATTGCGTTATTATTGTTAATAGGTACCAAGTACATACTTAATGTAATTACAAAAGCAATGTAATCATGGTGTCATTAACGGCCTATAATTATAACAGAATGAAGCGAAGTAAAGATAACAGAATGGCCGAATCTTTGTATTAGATTGATATCAGACAATGATTAGTTCGCTAATTGTTTACAACATCAAGATCGTGGTTAGGTAACGTGAATGAAAGCGATTAGACCGTTGTTGCACAGTTTCGTGGGCGAGTTGATGACGTACAGCTCGTCGGCGTTCACGCTCGAGTCAGTCACACGTGGACTGCGAACACGTTGCAATGAGGTGTAAAACATTCGACCCCAGGGTCGGCCAAAATCTAATTAGGATTAACTCTGAGAAATAATACTTTTTGTGCTCTTATCACATCGAACTTAAACTTATACCTTTAGGCTTGACGGAAAGAGGCATAATCTTATATATGTAAGTATGTTGCATCTAAAGGACCAAGTGATGGCTCTGAAATGGGTGCGGGACAACATTGAGGCGTTCGGTGGTGACCCGGCGCGCATCACCATCTTCGGCGAGTCTGCGGGAGCCGCCTCCGTGCACCTGCACATGTTGTCACCTGCATCACAGGTTTGTTAAACTAGTGTTAAGTATGAACTTTTCATTTTGGAATTAAAATGTGTGGGTAAACTCGTCGCCATTGTTAAGTATGTTATTTAAACAAACGAAATATAAATAAATAGAGAGAAGGCTATTGACACACACATTTATTCGTCTCAATCGTTTACAAATTCGCGGGCTCCGCCACACACATAGATCATCTATCACCATAGACTATACTATGACCATAGAGTATACCACAGATAGATACATAACAACTAGAAATAAATTTAAGAATTTTTATTCTCTTTTATTCTCTCAGAAAACACACTGCATCTCGCGTATATATAGGTAAAGAACAAGGACAACGTTAAGAACTTGAGATTCTTCAAGCAAAACAAATTTTCTTAACTTCTTCTTGTAACGTCCTGTGTGCTGAAAATTATATCACTTTCAATAGATAACTCTGCTCCCGACAATTTCTAGAAACCTTGCATAATGTTACATTACACATTAATAACTAAACATGTTTGTGATCTAAACCTAAAGGCAAAATTCCAATGATGTAAGAATGCCGTTAATTATGTGACATAATACGTACTTACTCATAATAGTTTTAATTGACCACTTTATCTATTTATTATAGTTATACAACATAATATAAGTTCATACTTAGGTACTTACTTGTGAATAAAAAAAAATAAGAATCATATATTTTTTAAAAACATTATTAATATAGGAAAAGGAGAAAGAAAACATGGTCCAATATTTTTTTAAACTTTTCTGATGATAAGGGCAAATGAACATTCAAAGGGCGCCTAGCATTTGTGGAGAAAAACTAGGCTGTATGGGATATTTGTCTCCGAAAAATAACCCTATTAGCACCTATAAGGGAAACACAAGTCTTCTAAATATAACAAATCTGTATAATACCTAAACAGATTCATATTGATACCTAGGGTCCAAGATCAATTGATCTTATAGTCGATTATTGCGTGAAACATTAACAAACATGCATAGTTATCTCTTCTCATAAACTTTCACTACAGTATGTATTGATAAACAAAACTCGACCTTGACGCTTTATAATGTGCTAGTGACATTCAACCTTATGTAGGTACTTAGGTAGCAAGCTATCGACTGTAAGAGGTTACGTCACCTTATATTATAACGATTAACGACAATATTATTATTGTCGACT